CCTTCCTGGCAGATAGTCAGCTTGGACCAACCTAACTTTCTTCTCGCTAATGTCTAGGTTGCTAGAAAAAAGTTAACAGTGGGACAGATGCTTACTACACAGTAACTTCAGATCCTGTGGCCTCAGGGGGATCCGAATACTCCCTGGCAATCCTTATGCTCTGCCCAGGTCAACTGTTTTTCCTATTCTCCAAAGGAGCAATTTCAAACCTTCATCACTTTCTTCAAACTCCTTCCCCCATAACACTCCCCATTCTTTGCATATAATTTGTCTCCTAAATTTCAGGAAAGAACCCAAAAAATCACACTAGGACTTTCTAAATCCCCCCTGCCCAATCCACAGATCTCACTGTTATCCCTGCCCATCTTCGTTCCTCCTGTGGCTGAGAAAGGGGTTCCACTTTTGTGTTGGATCCAATCCCTTGTCATCTCAGAGACTTGGAATCTGCATTTCTTGCTGTCTCTCTTAATGTCTTCTACCCCACCATCCATAGTGCCTTCTTCCTGTCAGCATTGAAACAAGTCTGTCATCTTTAAATATACTCCCTTCAAACACCTTCAGTATACTCCCACATCCTCTCATCCTTTCCCATTCCATTTCATGAATCTTGCCTCTTCCCTAGCACTGTCTAATTTGCTAAAAGAGTTGTATTCACTCATGATCGCCATTTCCTGGCTTTCTACTCGTTTTTCAACCTGTCACCCCCATCTCTGCTCCCAGCACTCCCTGCAAGAGTCTTTTCTGATAGAGCCAAAGGATTCCTTGTTTGGGAACATTCTCTGTTACTTGACCTCTTAGAAGGATTTAATGCTGCTGACTACGCCTTCCTTGAGGCATGTTCTCCCCTTGGCTTCTATAATGTCAGAACTCAGAACTCCATAGCCACTCCCTAGTTTCTGTTGTCCAGCTCTTAAATGCAGGTGTTTCTCAGGATTCTGTCCAGGGCCCTCTTATCCCTCCAGGTTACAATCTTGCTTGTAAACTTCAGAACTGTATATTCAGCAGCCTACTGGCCATCTCCACTAGATGCCTCTCAGGTATATTAGAATCAGCAGTCTCAAACTGAACTCAAACTCTCCTCCCAAACCTGTTGTTCTTCCTTGTCAGGGTGAGTAGCAATAGCATCTGCCCTGCAGCCTGAGCCAGACAATCCTGAACACTATTGTTGACGCTTCTGTCTCTCACTGACTTTATCTCCAGACCATCACCAAGTCCTGTAATGCTGGTGAGGTGAAAGGAGCGTGGATTTTGGTTAAAATTCCAGTTCTAATTGTAGTTTGCACAAACTACTTAACCTTTCTCAGCCTCAAGTTCCTCATTTGTTTAAAGGAAGTAGCAATACCTAATTTAAGTGGTTGTTGTCAGGATAAAGGAAAGCCTTTACTTGGTAGGTGATATGGTTTGGCTCTGTGTCCCCACCCAAATCTCACCTTGAATTTTAGTAATCCCCACATGTTGTGGGAGGGACCCAGTGGGAAGTAATTCAATCATGGGGGTGGGCTTTTCCTGTGCTGTTCTCGTGATAGTGAATAAGTCTCACAAGATCTGATGGTTTTATAAATGGGAGTTTCCCTGCACAAGACCTCTTGCCTCTCGCCACGTAAGACTTGCCTTTGCTTCTCCTTTGCCTTCCACCATGATTGTGAGGCCTCCCCAGCCATGCGGAACTGTGAGTCCATTAAACCTCTCCTTTATAAATTACCCAGTCTCAGGTATGTATTTATTAGCAGTGTGAGAACAGACTAATACAGTAGGCATTCAATAAATGTGAGTCCTCCATTTAGTAAACATGACTGCTCTTCTGTTCCAGTCCTCTCTCTCCCCAACCCCATCACCACCTCTGCTGACTTGCCTTATTGTTGAATTGGTGTGTACATAGTTTCCTGACTTTGAGAATCCCCCTGCAATTAGATTTCCCATTGTTCCTTCATGACTAAGAACTAAGTGCTGGTCACCACAGCATTGAGTGCAGTCTGGGAGGCAGATTCCAGCTATCACTGCCACATAGTTAGATGTGTATGTACTTCCAAGTCTTGTCTCTTAGCTGTCTCCTATGCCACCGCACCTCCGTAAGCTAAATCCTCATCATCTCATTTGGGTACTGCAGCAGCCCCTCTGAGGCCTTTCTCCACGCCCTCTCTCACTTCAGTCCTTCTCTGCCTGACCATCATAGCTGGTCTTTCTGCCCTGAAACCTGCCATGGCTTCTCTCTTCTGGCGAAGTGAAGTCCACACACTGCTACGTGCAGCCTGCCTTGCCAGCTCATCTCCCTTGCGTGCCTGTGCCAGCTCAGTGGCTAAGTCCTCTCTGACCCAGTGTCAGTTTTCATGATGAGGGAGCAAGAAGGATGCTTAGATACTGGTTGAGAAGCTGAATACTGTACTTCTTGGGTCTAGTGGCCAGTAGGACAGGCATAAGACACTTAGCTAAGAGCAGCTGTCCAGAAAACAGGGACCAAAAGACACAGGAAACCCAGGAGGACTTAGAATTCTGTAAGAATCACCAGTCATAAAATAAGGAGGAAAACCGATTAGTCTTCTGTCATAGCAATGTATGCTTATGAAGAATTTGGAAAATGCAAAGAAAGTAATCACCTGGAACCTCTCACCTAGTGATAGGCACTGTTGCTGTTTCAGTATGTTCCTTCCAAGTCCTTTTTTTTTCCCCCCCGAGGCAGACTCTCACTATGTCACCCAGGCTGGAGTGCAGTGGTACAATCTTGGCTCACTGCAACCTCCACCCCCCAGGTTCAAATGATTCTTGTGTCTCAGCCTCCCAAGTATCTGGGACTACAGGTGCTTGCCACCACACCCAGCTAATTTTTTGCGTTTAAGTAGAGATGGGGTTTTACCATGTTGCCCAGGCTGGTCTCCTGAGCTCAGGCAATCCACCCGCCTCGGCCTCCCAAAGTGCTAGGATTAGAGGCATGAGCCACTGCACCTGGCCTCAGTCTTTCTTCTAAGAAGTCTTTGTCCTTTTTTACACAGTCTTCATGGTACACTGTACAATCAAGTGTACATCCTGCTTTATCTCGTCTGTCCAGCGTATTTTTCCTGGGTTAGTAAAATTTCTGCCTAAGCCATGTAACGACTGCTTGCTATTCCACATGTGACTACAGGATAGTTTCTTTAGCCTTTTGCTATTGCTGGACTTTTTAGTCTTTCCAATAAATAACACTGGGAGGGAGGGACAGTTTTGCGAATAAAACTTTTCTTCCTACATTTCTGATAATTTTTCTAAGCTATAAATTTATAACTTAAATCACTGAGTCAAATGATATGAAAATTTCTAAGCAGTGCAGACTCAAAAGGGACAGAATGAATATAGACCGGACCTCAACTGCAAAGAGAGAGGTGAAGAGAAAAGGGTTGTAACTAACAGATTCTTTTAAAATTATTTTTTACTTCACAAAGGAGAGGGCTGGGGAGATTCAAGTGGTGCTCTGTAGGGAAAACATGCCTTTGAACTGAGTTCCTGGCTTCATGATGGTCGAGAAGGGCTTGTTTCTGCTTTTGTGTTTTCATCTGGGTCAGTCAGAGGACAAACCATTCCTATGAGTTCCTTTCCCAGTAAGGAAGAGAAAAATCATCCAGTATATAATGATGCAGATCGTTAGCTGTGTTCGCAGCCTTGTAGTTTAAAAAATATATATATATAAAATAATGTATCCTCCTAATGTGCAGTTAATTTTAGTTAAAATTTCCCTAGTGCTTTAAAAACCCGGTGAATTTATAAACATAGTAACTGGCTTGCATTTGGAACGTTCAAGCTGTCATAACCAGCTGGCTGTAGCAGGGCATGCTGCACCTCCTTGCGCTCTGTTGGGAGTTCAGCACTCACCTGAGCACTGCCCTCTTGAATCCAGAAAGAAACCAAGACCTTCCCAGAGTTCCTGTTCCTAATTTTCCGTAACTGAAGAAAGCTAATGAGTGTCTCAAAGTTAACATGTCCAAAGTCAAACCTTTGACTCCCTGTCAGTCCCCAAATTCAGTCTTTCTCTCAGCAGTGGATCAGCCACCTGACTGGTGATTCAGATTCAAAAGTTTGAACTGTCCTTGATTTCTTCCTTTCTTTCCTTGCCACTGCCAACATCACATCCACCAGCATATCCTGTTGATTCAGCTTCTAACATATACCTCAAATTGTCCATTTCTCTTACTCTATCCCAGCTCCCCTGGCCACTCCCCTAACTCTGGAGTGGCTGCCTCCTGCAGGATGTTGCTTCTACTCTGTGGTCTGTGGTCTGCAGACTGCACTGTAGCCAGAGGGATCTTGCCGAAATAGAATTCTGATTACGTCGTCTACTCTTTCTTTGTCTCTTCTTCGCTGTTAAGGTAAAGGCCAGAAATTCCAGTGTGGCCAAGAAGGTCCTCCCCAGAGCCACCCACCGCGTCCCTGGATCTATCAGGGCCCAACTTCACCAGCCATCCTGCAGCTCCCACCCCAGGGCTTCTGCACTCAACTGTGCTGTCTCCCCAGGAGAACCCTCTGCACTCCCCTCCCTCCTCCTCCTGATTCAGAGGAGCCTTCCCTTCTACCCATTCTATCCAGGTCAGGCTCTTTACTTTCATAGAAACATGGGGATTTTTTCTTGCTTCAGAGAGCCTATTTTAATTTGAAGTTCTACACATGTATACACATTCATTGGTGTGATCCTTTGATTGCCATCAGTCTTCTCTGCTAGGCAGTGAGACCCATGAAAAGGGTCTGCTGTCACTGTTCTTTCCCTCTCAGCTAGCTCATGTCTAGCACAAGGTAGGTGCTTAATAAATGTATTGGTTGCATGCTGAATGAACGAGTAGAGTCCTGCTGACAGTTGTCATTGATGGATGGGGTCCTTGTAAGGTGTAGGCTCTTCCCAGAGCGGGCAGGCCCAAGTTTTCCACAACACATTGACTTGAGGGAGTGTGACTTTGTTTGATTTTATTTTTTTCATTTCAGCTATTGGAGCGAATAGAGCATGCTGCCTAAAACTTATTTTTTCTTCTCTCTCTGTTCAGCTAAAGCTTGCTTTCACTCTGGACCACGAGACCGGATTGCCTCAAGGATGTCATATCTATGAGTACCGTGACAGCAACAAGTAAGCCACTCAGTGGGAAAGAGTGTCACTTCACATGTGTGCAGCAGTGGTGCCTGTGGGCTTTCTGACACTGAGCTTCCATTGCTAAGTGGTCATCAGGAAGGGAATACACCTTTTACTACTATACTGGAAAATAGCGGGCAGAGAAATATTCCTCTTGTAAGATCTCTTTGCCCCTAAGTATAGAACTTGGGGCACTTGTAGAGGAGCAGTTGTGGTGTGTTAGAAGTAGATGTTGAAGCAGACCTTCTTTCAAGGCTCCAGATGTACCCCAGACACTCTCTACTCTGGGTCTCCAATCATGTGCCTGCTTGTTTGGTTCACTGTGTGACTTTGGCTTTGTTGCAGTTCTCAGTCACTGTCTATGCTTAGGTTTATGGGTTTTGTTGTGATTATCTTCCTTGTGTATTTTATATTAATAGTTGGGAGATTTCTGAGTACTTACAGAGATTTAAATTGGTGGCCTTGTTGGAAAGGTGGCACCTTGCATAATTTCATAGCACCTCCTTTCCACATCATAGAATGTCTCATTTTTTTTTTTTGGACAGGGTCTTGCTCTGTCACCCAGGCTAGAGTGCAGTGATAGAATCATGGCTCACTGCAGCCCGAAACTCCTGGGCTCAAGTGATCCTCCCACCTCTGTTTCCCGAGTACCTGGGACTACAGGTGCATGCCACCATGCCCAGCTAATTTTTCTAAAGTTTTAGTAGATACAGGTCTCCCTATGTTGCCCAGGTTGGTCTTGAACTCCTGAGCTCAAGCGATCCTCCCACCTCGGCCTCCCAAAGTGCTGGGATTACAAGTATGAGCCACTGCACCCAGCCACAGACTGCCTCCTTGACTGTGTATTTTTGTTTGTGAGACAGTGAAAGTGGTGGTGAGTGAGGCACAGGGAATGTGCCCCAATGATGACAATGATGGTAATGACAGCAGCTACCATTGAGCACCTCCTGTGTGTTAGGCATAGTACTGGGGACTTCACATTTGTTATCTCATTTAATCTTCATAACAACCCCGGGTGTGTTATTTTATTATTGTCATATTTGCAGAAGCTAAGGTCTAGGGAACTAAAGTAATTCACTCAGGGTAACTTGCCACAGCTGTGAGAAGCAGAGTCAACATTATCATGTTTACTCTGGGGAGAGAATAGATGGAAAACAATTGACCCATATTGCCACTTAGAAACTCCAGTCAGTGACAAGAGCAGTCCCAACCTGGATTTAAAGAGAATGTACTCTGGTCTCATCGTCTAAATATCCAGGCTGTTTAATTTCATCCAGTAGAAGGAAACAAATAGGCACATGCCAGTAGAACCATCTATGACCTTCCAAAAGAGAAATCGGTGCCTTCCTCGAGACCTCTGGCGCTGTTTTGGGTGGAAGAGAGGCTAATGGGTGCCCTCATTACCACATCTCCACTGGGATTACCTTCAAGATGTGATGACTCTTTGTAATTTATCTTTAGGAGAATGCCATAGTAACTGGTGTGTACCCCTAATTAATCATAGGAAGGATTGACCAGACATCCTTTAACAATTCTGGCTGGACTCTCTGCTCTTTGGGAAAAGGTTGCAGAGTTTTTATTCAATGGGAGAAGGGCACCAACTCTCTGTCCTTTAAGTTTATGTCTTAGCTGTTCACATATCCAGTGGCAACAACTTGTATTGTCTTTGACTGTGAGAAGAGAAAATAGCCTAGCTCCTTTTTTTTTTTTTTTAATAGAAACAGTGTGTCATGATGTTTCCTAGGCTAGTCTTGAACTCCTAAACTCAAGCCATCCTCTTCCCTCAGCCTTCCAAAGTGCTGAGGTTATAGGTGTGAGTCATCATGCCCAGCCTAGCTCTGTGTCTTGGTCTATCCATAGCTGCTAGCATATTACCAGATCAAGCAATGTAAGAAGATAACTTAGGGTTTATAAATATGAATAAGTTTTGGCCCCCAAAGACCTATAAAAGAAAGTATTTGTGTAGGAAATCGGATACGAGCCATGATCTAGAAAAGTATGGTGATCAAATGCTTTGGTGATTGCTCTCTCTGGTTCTCTCTTGCTTGTATTAGAGTCAGTCTTAGGGTTCATTCTCAATCCTTAGACAACTTTCTTAACCTCTCTGAGTCTCTAGTTTCTTTTTTCTTTTCTTTTCTTTTTTTTTTTTTTTTTCTGTTTTTTGAGACGGAGTCTTGCTTTTGTCGCCCAGCCTGGAGTGCAATTGCATGATCTCGGCTTACTGCAACCTCCACCTCCAGGATTCAAGTGATTCTCCTGCCTCAGCCTCCTGAATAGCCAGTATTACAGGTGCCCGCCACCACACCTAGCTAATTTTTGTATTTTTAGTAGAGACGGGGTTTCACCATGTTGGCGAGGCTGGTCTTGAACTCCTGACCTAGGTGATCCACCTGCCTTGGCCCCCCAAAGTGCTAGGATTATAGTCATGAGCCACCGTGCCCAGCCTGAGCCTCCAGTTTCCTCATCTGTTCAAAATAGTAGGATTAATAATACGTCTCTGGCAGGGTTGCATGAGGCTCTCTGGCCGTGATGTCATGTTGAAGTGTGTCATCACCAATCTCACTATAGAATGCCCATGGGAAGTGTTGGTTGCCTCTTCTTCCCAAAGAGAAAAAGCAGCTCATGACTTCCATTTTCTCAGAAAGTCTTCTGCTAACAGTGTGCTGATGAGGGAAGAGGCTGGTGTGCCTGCCATTCACAGCCTTCAGTTGTGTGCGATGCTCTGTCAAAGGCAGACTCTTCTCCTCACTCATGAGTTGTGAAGCACGGGGGACCCCAAAATCCTGACTATGACTTCTCGTCTCCCCCAGGCCCTTCCCTGTCTGTATTCCTCTGTTTCCATTTTGGGTCATTTTCCCTCCAATGCCTGAATCCAAATATTGGCATAATAGTGGCATTTAGAAAATGAAGATACTCAGCCCAGTCCCTCAAGGGTTCCATGTTGGCTCAGGCCAAGTGACGTGAAGACAACACCAGCAGAGAGAGGAAATTCTACAGATGAAAAAGCTTGCTTGAATATTAGTTTGGTACAACTGATTATTGAAACGATTGCTTTTCCCTTTTGGGTATTCCCTGCAGTACAATTTGTAATCATTTTAACATTCATCTCTGTCTGCCAAATTCAATCCATCAGCAAAAAAGAGTTGTTCTGAATAAGTGCTGAGGCTGTTGGATGGTTCTCCCAAATAGTCTTTCCTTTCAAATGGAATGGCCCAGAAAATGGGCTCTCCATTTTTATAGTTTCTGGATTCTCTTATCAGCCCTCGATTAACGGGATTCAGTATCAAAAGCAGGTCAAGTTTTCTGCAACAGAGAAGAAGGTGGCCCTCAGGTCCATGGGTGGTGCCTGATAGTTTTGATCGTTGGCTCTATGTCATCCTGTTCTCCTTTCACATAAAGGGGCTAATCTCTGCATCTGGGGTCCAGGCAGAACAGTCCCTAGGACTTGTCCATCTTGGATGGGACTTGGACCCTGCCTTCTCTAAGGCTAGGGGCACAGCTCTCGGGTAAACATTCTTAAAGCTCTGAGGTCATTAGAAGAAAGAGAGAAGCTGTCCTATTGTGCCTTGGGTTCAACTAGGAAAGCTCTCCACCTTGAATTATTCTGTCAGCCTCCCAAAAGCTATTCCAATCTGCATCTAAGAGGTGTGAGGCCTCACGCCCCCTGGCAGACGCCACCAGTCACCACCCGTGGACCCAAGGGCCACCTTTTTTTTCTCTGTTGCAGAAAACTTTACCTGTCTTTAACACTGAATCCAGTTAATCAAGGAGTGATTGACAGTCATTTTTGTCAAATTGAAGTTTGGAGATCTCTTGATATAGGGCAAGGAACAAGGCCTTCAAGAGTGAAGAAGTGATTTGTGAGAATTCAGTTACACATTTATGAAGCCCCTGCTTTGTACAGTGTGTTACATGGGGGAGGCAAAGATACGTTAGACCCAGTGCATGCCCTCAGGGTTTGTATAAGTAGCAAAGCACACTCGAGCACCCTGTAGGGATGATGTGCACTTTGGCAGTGGTAGGAATCGAGTGCTGTGGCAACAACGATGAGGAAAGTGAATGCTTCTGACTTTGTAGTTACTGTATGGATGGTGGTGACCTTCACAGACAAGGAGCTTTGTCAGAAGGCTTCTTTCTCTCCATCCCCACTGCCACCCTCCTTCTCACTGCCAGGACTGTAGAGCTGCTTTGCAAGCTGTTCTTCCTGCTGTTAACTGGTCGGCCTCCGGGCTGTCCTCTCTGCAGGCTGAGTGAGTGTGCGTGTCTTTTCCTTCTGGTTGCTTTTTAGGCCTTATTTTTGTCTTTTTGTTCTGCAGTTTTACTACATTATGTCTGAGTGGATTCACTTTTATTTATATTGTTTAGTACTCAATATAGTTCTCATTTAGACATTTTTATCTATTATCTTTGATTCTCTCTAATCTCTCCTTCTGGAACTTGTTAGAAACCCACCATCTTATTTCATCTTTCCTGTCTTTTCTATTTCCGTATCTGTTAGTGCTGCATTTTAGGAAACTTCCGCAGAAGTGTCCGTCACTTTATTCTCCTTGTAGCAGTTTACTATCTGCTGTTTAATAACCCTTCCCAATATGAATGTTTTTATTTTATTTTATTTTATTTTATTTATTTTTTGAGATGAAGTCTCACTCTGTCACGCAGGTTGGAGTGCAGTGTCGCAAACTCATCCCACTGCAACCTACACCTCCTGGGTTCAAGTGATTCTCCTGCCTCAGCCTCCTAAGTAGCTGGGATTACAGGCATGCGCCACCACGCGGGGCTAATTTTTTTGTATTTTTAGTAGAGACGGGATTTCGCCACATTGGCCAGGCTGGTGTCGAACTCCTGACCTCAGGTGATCTGCCCAACTCAGCCTCCCAAAGTGCTGGGGTTACAGGCGTGAGCTACCACACCTGGCCTAATGTTTGGTTTTTATATTTAATTTTCAGAAGTTCCATTTCGTGCTTTTGAAAATCAGCCTATTATTATTAATTAATTTT